AATCGAACCTTGGTCACCCGCGTGGCAGCCGAGTATTCTACCACTGAACCACCAACGCCAGTTGCTTACTCCTGCATTCATGACATGCAATAATTCGTAACAGCACGTGTGAGCTTATCTAAAAATAACAATGCGTCTGCCGGGAAACGATTCCGAGTCACCCGCATGGCAGAAGAGTATTCTACCACTGAACCGCCAACGCCATCTGCTTGCTCCTGCATTCATGGCTTGCATATATAGTGTAACAGCATGCAGGAACTTTTCTAAAAATAACAATGCGTCGGCCGGGAATCGAACCCGGGTCACCCGTGCAGCAGGTGAGTATTCTACCACTGAACTACGGACGCCATTTGCTTGCTCCTGCATTCAAGGCATGTATATATTGCGTAACAAAACGCGTGAGCTTTTTAAATATAACGATGCGTCGGCCGTGAATTGAACCCGGGTCACCCGTGTGGCAGGCGAGTATTCTACCACTGAACCACCAACGCCATTTGCTTGCTCCTGCATTACAGGCATGCGATATTGCGCAACAGCACGCGTGAGCTTTTCTAAAAATAAGGATGCGTCAGCCGGGAATCGAACCCGGGTCACCCGCGTGGCAGGCGAGTATTCTACCATGGAACTACTGACGCCATTTGCTTGCTCGTGCACTCATTACATGCAATATTGCGAAATAGTACGCAGGAACCTTTCTAAAATAAACGATGTGTCGACCGGGAATTGAACCCGGGTCACCCGCGTGGCAGGCGAGTATTCAACCACTGAACCACCGACGCCATTTCCTTACTCCAGCATTCATGGCATGCTATATTTTGTAACAGCATGCGTGAGCTTTTCTAAAAATGACGATGCGTCGGCCGGGAATCGAACCCGGGTCACCCGCGTGGAAGTCGAGTATTCTACCACTGAAACACCGACGCCTTTTTCTTGCTCCTGCATTCATGGCATGCATATATAGCGTAAAATCACGCGTGAGTTTTTCTAAATATAACAATTCGTCGGCCGGGAATCGAACCTTGGTCACCCGCGTGGCAGCCGAGTATTCTACCACTGAACCACCAACGCCAGTTGCTTACTCCTGCATTCATGACATGCAATTATTCGTAACAGCACGTGTGAGCTTATCTAAAAATAACAATGCGTCTGCCGGGAAACGATTCCGAGTCACCCGCATGGCAGAAGAGTATTCTACCACTGAACCACCAACGCCATCTGCTTGCTCCTGCATTCATGGCTTGCATATATAGTGTAACAGCATGCAGGAACTTTTCTAAAAATAACAATGCTTCGGCCGGGAATCGAACCCGGGTCACCCGTGCAGCAGGTGAGTATTCTACCACTGAACTACGGACGCCATTTGCTTGCTCCTGCATTCAAGGCAGGTATATATTGCGTAACAAAACGCGTGAGCTTTTTAAATATAACGATGCGTCGGCCGTGAATTGAACCCGGGTCACCCGTGTGGCAGGCGAGTATTCTACCAATGAACCACCAACGCCATTTGCTTGCTCCTGCATTACAGGCATGCGATATTGCGCAACAGCACGCGTGAGCTTTTCTAAAAATAAGGATGCGTCAGCCGGGAATCGAACCCGGGTCACCCGCCTGGCAGGCGAGTATTCTACCACTGAACCACCGACACCGTTTGCTGGCACCTGCAGTCATGACATAAAATTTAGCGGAATAGCAGGCAGGAACTTTTGTAAAATAAACAACGCTTCGGCCGGGAATCGAGCCCGGGTCACCCGCATGGCAGGCGAGTATTCTACCACTGAACCACCGACGCTGTTTGCTGGCTCCTCCATTCATGGCGTGCAATATTGCGGAATAGCACGCAGGAACGTTTGTAAAATAAATGATGCGTCGGCCGGTAATCGAACTCGGGACACCCGCGTGGCAGGCGAGAATTTTACCATTGAACCACCGACGCCATCTGCTTACTCCTGCATTCATGACATGCATTGTTGCGTGACAGCACGTGTGAGCTTTTCTAAAAAATATTCTGCGTCACCCGCGTGGCAGGCGAGTATTCTACCACTGAACCACCGCTGCCAATTGCTTGCTCCTGCAATCATGGCATGCATATATAGCGTAAAATCACGCGTGAGTTTTTCTAAATATAGCAATGCGTCGGCCAGGAATTCAACCTGGGTCACCCGCGTGGCAGCCGAGTATTCTACCACTGAACCACAAACGCCAGTTGCTTACTCCTGCATTCATGACATGCAATAATTCGTAACAGCACGTGTGAGCTTTTCTAAAAATAACAATGCGTCTGCCGGGAAACGAAACCGAGTCAGCCGCATGGCAGAAGAGTATTCTACCACTGAACCACCAAAGCCATCTGCTTGCTCCTGCATTCATGGCTTGCATATATAGTGTAACAGCATGCAGGAACTTTTCTAAAATACAATGCGTCAGCCGGAATCGAACCCGGTCACCGTGCAGCAGGTGAGTTTTCTACCACTGAACTACGGACGGCCATTTGCTTGCTCCTGCTTCAAAACATGTATATATTGCGTAAACAAAACGCGTGAGCTTTTAAATATAACGATGCGTCGGCGTGAATTGAACCCGGGTCACACCGTGTGGCAGGCGGCATCTACCACGGGACCACCGACGCCATTTGTGTTCTCGGGCATTCATTACTGCAATATTGCGTAACAGCAACGTGTGAGCTTTTTTAAAAATAACGATGCGTCGACCGGGAATAGAACTCGGGTCGCCCGCGTGGCAGGCGTATTCTACCACTGAAGCACCGACGCCATTTGCTTGCTCCTGCATTCATGGCATGCATATATAGTCTAACAGCTCGCGTGAGCTTTTCTAAAAAGTAACGATGCGTCAGCCGGTATTCGAACTCGGGTCACCCGCGTGGCAGGCGAGTATTCTACCACTGAACCGCCAACGCCATTTGCTTGCTCCTGCATTCATGGCATGCATATATAGCGTAACAACACGCGTGAGCTTTTGTAAAAATAACGATGCGTCGGCCGGGAATCGAACCCGGGTCATCCGCGTGGCAGGCGAGTATTCTACCACTGAACCACCGACGCCATTTGCTTACTCCGGCATTCATGGCATGCTATATTGCGTAACAGCACGCGGGAGCTTTTCTAAAAGTAACAATGCTTCGGCAAGGAATCGAACCCGGGTCACCCGTGCAGCAGGTGAGTATTCTACCACTGAACTACGGACGCCATTTGCTTGCTCCTGCATTCAAGGCATGTATATATTGCGTAACGAAACGCGTGAGCTTTTTAAATATAACGATGCGTCGGCCGTGAATTGAACCCGGGTTACCCGCGTGGCAGGCGAGCATTCTACCACTGAACCACCGACGCCATTTGTGTTCTCGGGCATTCATTACATGCAATATTGCGTAACAGCACGTGTGAGCTTTTTGAAAAATAACGATGCGTCGGCCGGGAATAGAACTCGGGTCACCCGCGTGGCAGGCGTATTCTACCACTGAAGCACCGACGCCATTTGCTTGCTCCTGCATTCGTGGCATGCATATATAGCGTAACAGCACGCGTGAGCTTTTCTAAAAATGACGATGCGTCGGCCGGAATCGAGCCCGGGTCACCCGCGTGGCAGGCGAGTATTCTACCACTGAACCACCGACGCCAAGTGCTTACTCCTGCATTCATGACATGCAATATTGCGGAAAGGCAGGCAAGAACAATTTTAAAGGAAACGATGTGTCAGCCGGGAATCGAACCCGGGTCAGCCGCGTGGCAGGCGAGTATTCTATCACTGAACCACCGACGCCATTTGCTTACTCCGGCATTCATGACATGCAATATGGCGTAACATTACGTGTGAGCCTTTCTAAAAAACAATGCGTCAGCCGGGAATCGAACCCGGGTCACCCGCGTGGCAGGCGAGTATTCTACCACTGAACCACCGACACCGTTTGCTGGCTCCTGCATTCATGACATAAAATTTAGCGGAATAGCAGGCAGGAACTTTTGTAAAATAAACAATGCTTTGGCCGGGAATCGAGCCCGGGTCACCCGCGTGGCAGGCGTGTATTCTACCACTGAACCACCGACGCTGTTTGCTGGCTCCTCCATTCATGGTGTGCAATATTGCGGAATAGCACGCAGGAACGTTCCTAAAATAAATGATGCGTCGGCCGGTAATCAAACTCGGGACACCCGCGTGGCAGGCGTATTCTACCACTGAAGCACCGACGCCATTTGCTTGCTCCTGCATTTATGGCATGCATATATAGCGTAACAGTACGCGTGAGCTTTTCTAAAAATAACGATGCGTTGGCCGGGAATTGAATCCGGGTCACACGCGTGGCAGGCGGGTATTCTACCACGGAACTACTGACGCCAATTTGCTTGCTCCTGCATTCATGACATACAATATTGTGGAATAGCACGCAGGAACTTTTCTAAAATAAACGATGCGTCAGGCGGAAATTGAACCCGGGTCACCCGCGTGGCAGGCGAGTATTCTACCACTGAACCACCGATGCCACTTGCTTATTCCTGCATTTATGGCATGCAATATTTTGTAACAGCATGCGTGAGCTTTTCTAAAAATGACGATGCGTCGGCCGGGAACCGAACCCGGGTCACCCGCGTGGCAGGCGAGTATTCTACCACTGAACCACTATGCCATTTGCTTACTCCCGCATTCATGACATGCAATATTGCGGAAAGGCAGGCAAGAACAATTTTAAAGTAAACGATGTGTCGGCCGGAAATCGAACCCGGGTCAGCCACGTGGCAGGCGAGTATTCTATCACTGAACCACCGACGCAATTTGCTTACTCCAGCATTTGTGACATGCAATATGGCGTAGCATTAAGCGTGAGCTTTTCTAAAAATAACATTGCGTCGACCGGGAATCAAACCAGGGTCACCCGCCTGGCAGGCGAGTATTCTACCACTGAACCACCAACGCCATCTGCTTGCTCCTGCATTCATGGCATGCATATATAGCAAAACAGCACGCGTGAGCTTTTCTAAAAATAACAATGCATCAGCCGGCATTTGAACCCGGGTCACCCGCGCACCAGGCGAGTATTATACCACTGAACCACCAATGCCATCTGCTTGCTCCTGCATTCATGGCATGCATATATAGCGTAACAGCATGCATGAGGTTTTCTAAAAATAACACTGCGTCAGCCGGGAATCGGACCCGGGTCACCCGCGCAGCAGGTGAGTATTCTACCACTGAACCACCAACGCCACTTGCTTGCTCCTGCATTCATGGCATGCATATATAGCGTAACAGCATGCATAAGGTTTTCTAAAAATAACACTGCGTCAGCCGGAATTTGAACCCGGGTCACACGCTCGGCAGGCGAGTATTCTACCACTGAACCACCGACGGCATTTGCTTACTACTGTTTTCATGGCATGCAATATTGCGTAACAGCACGCGTGAGCTTTTCTAAAAATAACGATGCGTCAGCCGGAAATCGAACCCGGGTCACCCGCGTGGCAGTCGAGTATTCTACCACTGAAGCACCGACGCCATTTGTTTACTGCGGCATTCATGACATGCAATATTGCGTAACAGCACGTGGGAGCTTTTCTATAAATAACGATGCGTCAGCCGGGATTTGAACCCGGGTCACCCGCGTGGCAGGCGAGTATTCTACCACTGAACCACCGACGCCATTTGCTTACTCCTGCATTCATGGCATGCAATATTGCGTAACAGCACGCGTGAGCTTTTCTAAAAATAACGATGAGTCAGGCGGGACTCGAAACCCGGGTCAGCCGCGTGGCAGGCGCGTATTCTACCACTGAACCACCGACGCCATTTGCTTACTCCTGCATTCATGGCATGCATATATAGCGTAACAGCATGCATGAACTTTACTAAAAATAACAATGCGTCGGCCGGGAATCAAATCCGGGTCATCAGAGTAGCAGGCGAGTATTCTACCACGGAACTACCGACGCCATTTGCTTGTTCCTGCATTCGTGACATGCAATATTGCGGAATAGCACGCAGGAATGTCTCTGAAATAAACGATGCGTTGGCCGAGAATCAAACCCGGGTCACCCGCGTGGCAGGCGAGAACTGTACCACTGAACCACCGCTGCCATTTGCTTGCTTCTGCATTCATGGCATGCATATATAGCGTAACAGCACGCGTGAGTTTTTCTAAATATAACAATGCCTCGGCCGGGAATCGATCCTGGGTCACCCGCGTGGCAGCCGAGTATTCTACCACTAAAACCACCAATGTCATTTGCTTGCTCCTGCATTCATGACATGCACTATTGCGTAACAGCACGTGTGAGCTTTTCTAAAAGTAACAATGCTTCGGCAGGGAATAGAACCCGGGTCACCCGTGTGGCAGGGGTGTGTATTATTCACTGACCACCAAACGCCATTTGCTTACTCCTGCATTCATGCATGCAGAATAGGCGTAACAGCACGCGTGAGATGTTCTAAAAATAACGATGCGTTGGCCGGGAATCGAACCCGGGTCACCCGCGTGGCAAGCGAGTATTCTACCACCTAAGCACCGACGAGCCATTTGCTTTCTCCTGCATTCATGGCATGCATATATAGCGTACGCACGCGTGAGGTTTTCTAAAATACGATGCGTCGGCCGGGAATCGAATCCGGGTCACCCGCGTGGCAGCGAGTAGTCTACCACGGAAGTACTGACGCCTTTGCTTACTCCAGCATTTCACTGCATGCATAGTTGTGTAACAGCACCGGTGAGCTTTTCTAAAAATAACGATGCGTCAGCCGGGAATCAAACCCGGGTCACCCGCGTGGTAGGCGAGTATTCTAGCCACTGAACTACGGGCGGCCATTTGCTTGCTCCTGCATTCATGGCTTGTATATATTGCGTAACAACACGCGTGAGCTTTTTTAAAGATAACTATGCGTCGGCCGTGAATTGAACCCGGTCACCCGTGGGCAGGCGAGCATTCTACCAATGAACCACCGACGCCATTTGTTTTCTCCGGCATACATGACATGCAATATTGCGTAACAGCACGTGAGAGCTTTTCTAAAAGTAACAATGCTTCGGCAGGGAATCGAACCCGGGTCACCCGCGTGGGCAGGAGAGTATTCTATCACTGAACCACCGACGCCATTTGCTTACTTCTGCATTCATGGCATGCATTATTGCCTAACAGCACGTGTGAGCTTTCCTAAAAACAACTCTGCGTCACCCGCGTGGCAGGCAAGTATTCTACCACTGAACCACCGACGCCATTTGCTTACTCCTGCATTCATGGCATGCAATATTGCGTAACAGCACGCGTGAGCTTTTCTAAAGATAACGATGCGTCGGCCGAGAATCGAACCCGGGTCACCCGCGTGGCAGGCGAGTATTCTACCACCTAAGCACCGACGCCATTTGCTTTCTCCTGCATTCATGGCATGCATATATAGCGTAACAGCACGCGTGAGGTTTTCTAAAAATAACGATGCGTCGGCCGGGAATCGAATCCGGGTCACCCGCGTGGCAGGCGAGTATTCTACCACGGAAGTACTGACGCCTTTTGCTTACTCCGGCATTCACGGCATGCAATATTGTGTAACAGCACGCGTGAGCTTTTCTAAAAATAACGATGCGTCAGCCGGGAATCAAACCCGGGTCACCCGCGTGGTAGGCGAGTATTCTACCACTGAACTACGGGCGCCATTTGCTTGCTCCTGCATTCATGGCTTGTATATATTGCGTAACAACACGCGTGAGCTTTTTAAAGATAACTATGCGTCGGCCGTGAATTGAACCCGGGTCACCCGTGTGGCAGGCGAGCATTCTACCAATGAACCACCGACGCCATTTGTTTTCTCCGGCATACATGACATGCAATATTGCGTAACAGCACGTGAGAGCTTTTCTAAAAGTAACAATGCTTCGGCAGGGAATCGAACCCGGGTCACCCGCGTGGCAGGAGAGTATTCTATCACTGAACCACCGACGCCATTTGCTTACTTCTGCATTCATGGCATGCATTATTGCCTAACAGCACGTGTGAGCTTTCCTAAAAAGAACTCTGCGTCACCCGCGTGGCAGGCAAGTATTCTACCACTGAACCACCGACGCCATTTGCTTACTCCTGCATTCATGGCATGCAATATTGCGTAACAGCACGCGTGAGCTTTTCTAAAGATAACGATGCATCGGCCGAGAATCGAACGCGGGTCACCCGCGTGGCAGGCGAGTATTCTACCACTTAAGCACTGACGCCATTAGCTTGCTCCTGCATTCATGGCATGCATATATAGCGTAACAGCACGCGTGAGGTTTTATAAAATAACGATGCGTCGGCCGGGAAATCGAATCCGGGTCACCCCGCGTGGCAGGCGATATTATACCACGGAAGTACTGACGCCTTTTGCTTACTCCGGCATTCACGGCATGCATATGTGTAACAGCACGCGTGAGCTTTTCTAAAAATAACGATGCGTCAGCGGGAATCAAACCCGGGCACCCCGCGTGGTAGGCGAGTATTCTACAACTGAACTACGGGCGCCATTTGCTTGCTCCTGCATTCATGGCTTGTATATATTGCGTAACAACACGCGTGAGCTTTTTAAAGATAACTATGCGTCGGCCGTGAATTGAACCCGGGTCACCAGTGTGGCATGGCGGCATTCTACAATGAACCACCGACGCCATTTGTTTTCTCCGGCATACAGACATGCAATATTGCGTAACAGCACGTGAGCGCTTTTCTAAAAGTAACAATGCTTCGGCAGGGAATCGAACCCGGGTCACCCGCGTGGCAGGAGAGTATTCTATCACTGAACCACCGACGCCATTTGCTTACTTCTGCATTCATGGCATGCATATTGCCTAACAGCACGTGTGAGCTTTCCTAAAAGAACTCTGCGTCACCCGCGTGGCAGGCAAGTATTCTACCACTGAACCACCGACGCCATTTGCTTACTCCTGCATTCATGGCATGCAATATTGCGTAACAGCACGTGTGAGCTTTTCTAAAAGTAACAATGCTTCGGCAGGGAATCGAACCCGGGTCACCCGCGTGGCAGGCGAGTATTCTATCACTGAACCACCGACGCTATTTGCTTACTTCTGCATTCATGACATGCAATATTGCGTAACAGCACGCGCGAGCTTTTCTAAAAATAACGATGCGTCAGCCGGGAATCGAACCTGGGTCACCCGCGTGGAAGTCGAGTATTCTACCACTGAACCACTGACGCCGTTTGCTTGCTCCTGCATTCATGGCAAGCATATATAGCGTAACAGCACGCGTGAGCTTTTATAAAAATAACGATGCGCGTGCCGGAAATCGAACCCGGGTCACCCGCGTGGCAGGCGAGTATTCTACCACTGAACCACCGACGCTGTATGCTGGCTCCTGCATACATGGCGTGCAATATTGCGGAATAGCACGCAGGAACGTTTCTAAAATAAATGATGCGTCGCCCGGTAATCGAACTCGGGACACCCGCGTGGCAGGCGAGTATTTTACCACTGAACCACCAACGCCATTTGCTTACTCCTGCATTCATGACATGCAATATTGCGTAACAGCACGCGCGAGCTTTTCTAAAAATAACGATGCGTCAGCCGGGAATCGAACCTGGGTCCCCGCGTGGAAGTCGAGTATTCTACCACTGAACCACTGACGCCGTTTGCTTGCCCTGCATTCATGGCAATATATAGCGTAACAGCACGCGTGAGCTTTTATAAAATAACGATGCGCGTGCCGGAAATCGAACCCGGGTCACCCGCGTGGCAGGCGAGTATTCTACCACTGAACCACCGACGCTGTATGCTGGCTCCTGCATACATGGCGTGCAATATTGCGGAATAGCACGCAGGAACGTTTCTAAAATAAATGATGCGTCGCCCGGTAATCGAACTCGGGACACCCGCGTGGCAGGCGAGTATTTTACCACTGAACCACCAACGCCATTTGCTTACTCCTGCATTCATGACAGGCAATGTCTCGTAACAGCACGTGTGAGCTTTTCTAAAAACAACTCTCCGTCACCCGCGTGGCAGGCAAGTAATCTACCACTGATCCACCAACGCCATTTTCTTACTCCTGCATTCATGGCATGCATATATAGCGTAACAGCACG